TATTAAAAAGAAAAAGCCAATCCAGTTAAAAATATATTTTTTTAAAAGAAAAACATCTTGCCAATTCCACTAAAAAGGGAAAGTTAAAAAAGAAAAAGATTTTTTTCCCCTTTTTTTTATAAGGCTCAATCTCACCGCTTAATCCACTTTTCTTCACTTTTAAAAATCTCTTTAAGTTCCTTAAGGTATTCTCTAAGAATAGTTGAATAGTAAAGGTCCATCTCACCCGGTTGACACCCCTCTCTTTCTTCTTCCTTTCCCCTTTTTTTTATAAGGCTCAATCTCGCCGCTTAATCCACTTTTCTTCACTTTTAAAAATCTCTTTAAGTTCCTTAAGGTATTCTCTAAGAATAGTTGAATAGTAAAGGTCCATCTCACCCGGTTGACACCCCTCTTTTTCTTCTTCCTTTGGAGCTGTCCCGGCTTTCGCAGTCATTAAATGGCTGCCTCTCCTCCGCCGGCTTCAAGAGCTTCTCCTGGGATCAATCTGGGACTTGCGGTGTCCCTGAGATCCGCAGGACGCGCCCTTTGCGATCGCCATCTCTACAGGACGGCTTAGGTCCATCGGGACCATCCGGGGGGGGAGATATTGGCTGCTATCCTGGGAGCCCAGGATCGCCTGCCGTATCGCCGCGACGCCAGCTCCGCCCTCCCCTGATCATTCTTCTCAAAGTTACACATTTCTAATGATTTCAATCTCTTTTTATTCAACTTACCTTCCAGTCCTCTATCCATACTGCCCTACTTCACGCTTGTTCCAGTTTGTCTGAATTTTTAACATACGATTCTCAAAACTGGGCACAATACTCAAGTGGTGTCTGACCAATGCAGAACAGAGTAGAACAATTGGGAAACTATATTTCTGTGGATCCAGGCTAATTGCGCTTGTCTTCTTTGCAGCTACTTCATTCTGCTGGAACTTATGCAGCTCGCAATCAACTATTACTTCAAGATTTTTTCACACACCTCTTGCCAAACCAGGTATCCTGTTTTCTAAGTGACTGATTTTCCATTTATATGGCAAATTTAATTATATTACCTTCAGCCCATATTTCTAACTTATCAAGACCATTTTTTGTTTCTGTCTTCTGGGCTGTTAACAGTTCCATCCAATTTTGTACCATCTGCTAACCAAATATAGATTTCCTTCAACACACCATTCATTAATGTCATTAATCAACAGTTTTATAACAATGATCAAGACTGAATCCCTACAGGGTATATAGTCTTATATTCTGGGAAAGGTGAATGCAGGCAGATGGGAGATGCAGATAGATAAACAGAGGAAGAGAGGTAATGTATGTTACTATAAATGCAAAACTACTAATTCTGAAAAGTTATGGGGGAATTGCAGTTCTGACCCCAGTCTTCTGAAGTAAGAGGATTACCCTACCACCCAGCATTAATAAGAAAGAAAGGATGAAAGAAAGGAAAAAATGAGACTGATGATAAAGGGAACTTGGCCACCACACAAAATTATGAAGTTGAACCAATACCAGTGCATTGTACTAGCAATTTCTAAAGATGGTAATTTATTAATGTATTTGCAGCAAAAAATAAAAAGATGCCAGACCCTGGATGGGTAGAGGGGGTTGCATATTAAAAGACTCATGTGAAAGTAGCCAAAAAATGCAGAATGGAAGAAAGAAAGAATACTGTAAAAACAAACCTTTCTTCTATGAAATGGCAATGCAATTACAGGTTGAGGCAAACTTGATTTTTAGCCTTTGGTTAAGAGAGAATGTATCTAAAAGGAGCAAACATTTTAATTTTTACATGGAGCTTTTGCTGTTGGAGTCTGTTGGGGAGAAGTGGTCCAGGCACTATCTTCCTGCTGAGGTCTTATGTTTTCCCAATGCTATTTTTGTCATTTCTCCAATCACCAAAAATCTATCAAGAAGGAAATTACAGAATATTTATTTAATCTATTTATATAGCCACCCAATCACATGCAACCCAGGATGTGCACCAGAATAGCTCTACAGTACTTGGTGATAAATAGCAGGAGGGGCTCTCTGCATTCCAGACTAGAGGCTTGACATGCTCAGAAGCAAGATTCATTGTTGAAGCCAGCCAACAATGTATATGGGATTGGAACTTCAAATTCTAAGCCGCCTTCCTACAGAGATATCAAAAATCACTCAATTACCTTCGACTACACGTGTGCACACCTGAAACTATTCGCTGGGCACAGCATACCATCTGTGTGCCCAGCAAATAAATGGGGCAACAGAATTGGTGCTATGTACATTGTCAATATATGAAGATTCAGTTTCAGAGATATTTCCTTGAAGTTAAGCAGAAAAACATCACAATTGCAAGCTAAGATTTCTAACCAAGTGAAAGCATGAAACAAGAAAAGCAAATAACAAGACAGCTAGGAAAAGAACTACTGATACATAACACACCTCAGTATAGACTTATTATATACTGTGATCTAAAACTTCCTGGAGAATATGCAGCCAGAAAGTAAGCTCTCCCCATTCCAGTTCATATGTAATTTTCACTTACTATAATGACTATGGTTTTAAAGTTAACATAACCTACACTTCCAGACTTTTCTTCAGCTACTTTCCACTTTCCATTTCCAGAGTCCTGCCAGGCTAATGCTACAGCAAATCAGAAATGTGCTACTGTGATTTCAGCAAGCTAACTCAGAACACCAAACTATGTTGCCAGATACAAGCTATGACAATAGAGTAGATGTCCCCTAATTGATGCCTTCCAGATATTCCTATAATACGATGCAATCCTCTATAATTCTGGGTGTTACAGTCCCAGTATGTCTGGAAGACAAGCAGTTTGGGAAGACTGCAGTAGAGATACAGAGTTTGCCATTCACGCAATAAGAACAAAACATAAAATGTGATTTCCTCAGTTATAAAATATTACCTCAGAAAACAGAAGTTGTACAACTTCAAAGCAAAATATCTGAATTATATTCAACACATTTTTACTAAATGCCAAAATATTGCTATATTACGTGAGAAGTAGGAGAACACAAGAACATCAGCTATATGGCTTTGAATTTTCTTCAGCTTTTGTTTCTGACCAATTGATCTTAAGTAAACTGCCTTTTTAAAAATCTTTGCATGACAATCACAATTGCAAGTAGTGGGGTCGGGGAGAGATACAAGATGTAGGACCACAGTTGCAACACTTACTCCTTGAGGAATACACTTACCTATAAGCAATATAGGCACCTACCTTAATAGAAACATGTTGGGAGAAACATGGTACCCTGCTGGGATCATACTACGCTAACAGGTGGAAAAGGTGCAACTTATCTTAGCCTTATAATGAAATCAAATGACAAGGAAATGAAGATGAGTTGTGACAGAAGGCTAATAAGAAGTTTGGTAATACAAAACAAAAACAAAAAAAACTACAGGAGCCATAGTTCTGAAGAAGCAAGAGTTCCAGGACAGTTGGTACATAGTACAGGGATGACATTAATTATGCTTGTGGATGACCTGTGACAGAGCTGGGATGGGGGAGTATAACCAGAAGAATGGTTCTTCTTGATTGCTTAGAGTTTTCAATACTATAGGTCTCGGTGTCCTTCTGGACTGACTGCAAGGAGTGGGAAAGGGGAGCATGGAATTATGGTGCAATGGTTCTCCTTTCTCCATGGTTGGTTTCAGTTGGTGATGGTAGGAGATTTAGGAAGCCATGGAGATTAGCTTGGAGAAGCCATCCAGGAGCCATTAAGACAGCAACAGGTGTAGCAACATGTGTTAATCCCTGTGAAGCAGGAAAGTATTAGACTCAGCCTGGCTCTGTCCTGACTGCCTGGGGCATAAGAGGAAGGGAAGGGAAAACATAATCAGACTTGCAAGATTCTGCTATTATAGTCTATCTCAATAAAGTATAATTCTAGTATTCCTGTGAAGTCAATTTTCGTGATCTATATACTTCATAGAACTGACAGGAAGAGGGAGGTCAAACCCAATGACCTGTTGGTGAGGTACCACAAGGCTTGACCCATCCTATTTAACTTCTATATGAGGCTGCTGAGTCAGGACATCCATCAGTTTGGGGTCAGGTGTCATCATCAGTATGCTAATGATACTTACCTATACATCTCGTCCCCAGTGTTGAAGTCATGTCACAGTGGCCAGAGGTTGTGAGGGTCTGGATGGGGAAGAACAAGCTGAGACTGGGTTACTCTATACTACCCTGTTTTGATCTAGTGTGCAAGCAGGTTGTCCTCTTGGACTCACAGCTTCTGCTTGAAGAACCAATGGCAGCTCAACCAGGAGGGCCTTTGCACAGGTTCACCTTGTATGCCAGTTGCACATTTTCTTGAATCAAGAGACCTTTCTAATGGTCACTAATGTCTTAGTCACCTTGTGGCTGGACAATTGCAATGCCCTCTACATGGGAAACCTTGAAAACCATCCAAAAGCTATAGCTTTTACAGAACAAGCAGTGATTGGTGAACCATGCCATGCAACGCCCAGGTTCTGAGAGCTTCACTGGATATCAGTTGGCTTCTGGGTGCAATTCAATGTGCTGGTTTTCACCTTCAAATCCCTACATGACTTAGGGCCTAATTATTTAAGGGAATATCTGTCTCCCATTGTTTCTGCCTGTCCTGTAATAATTGGCAGCATTGGCTTTTTTTCTGGTCCTGTCAATTAAGAAGTGTCATCTAATCCAGGAGATGGGCTTTTTCTGTTGCAGCACCTACCTCTGAAATAGTATTCCCCCACTTCCAAGATTCACATGGAAACAGGACTTGGGTTAGGTGATTGTGGGTCCTTACCTGTGGATAGGAGAGAGAATTGGCTATTGTTCTCCTCCAGATGTTGCAATCCTTTGGGGTTTTATTTTGATTTTTTTTCTTTTACCATTTTAAATGTTAAGCCATATAGTTGTTGGAATTGAGCAGCTTAGAAATGTAAAATATAAATATTAAAACATTTCCACCTTGAGGATGGATACAGAGTAAATTGCATATTGCAGCTCTTTGTTTGAGGCGCTGCTGTGCTGGAATTTTTTCCCACCACATGAAATCATTGCCCTGTAGTTACTTATTAATATTGTAATTGCCAAAGGAGTTTAAAAGGCCACATACACTTTGTGTTTGCAGCAGCAGAAGACGGTACAAGCATAGTCCTGTAACTGAAGAGGCAGAAGGCTGGGAGCCACTTCAGCGTCTCATTTTTGTTTTTAAAAAAGGAACCAGGTGTAGTCAGGCATACTTTTAAAAAGAAGGTTTGTGGGGCTACACAGTTGAAAATCAGGCTAACATGTATCTCCCCAACCTCCTCATCAAAGAAGAAGAAACCATATATCTCCTGCCCAAAATATTTTAACTTTTCAGGGGAAGGACATTGGTAGTGCTGAAAAAATGTTGCACAACATATTCCGTAGCAGCTTTGAAGACACTCGCAGTAGTATTACAATTCCACCAGGTCAGAAGTACAGAATTTAAGTGAATAGAAACCATAGTTAACAGATGCAGTGTCCTAAAAGAAGTCTGGAAAAAATGGCATATCTTCAGGATAATAGATTGGGATGTGTCATTCAATAGGCAAATAAGCCTACACAGTGGGCTGAGGGGAAAAATAGCTAGTGCAAATTGGTCCCTGATCTACTTATTGAAGGGCCTGTATGACTGAGAGTAATAAATACTGCTATAAGCTCCAGTGCTTCTTTACTACTATTCAGGAAGAGAGCAAATTGGCAATTCTGGCAACCCTGTGCTTCTCAACAGAAAACCATATAGATTCAAGCATGAAGACCAGTTAAGCATCTGTGTTGACCTATTGAGCTAGAATAGTGTTTCTCAACCGTGGCACCTTGAAGATGTGTGGATCCATGGCTGGCTGGGGAATTCTGGGAGTTAAAGTCCACACATCTTCAAGGTGTCAAGGTTGAGAAACACCGAGCTAGAAAGAAGAATGGTAACATTGCCAGGACAATTGGCTACATGCATTGGTGTGTGCTAGGAGAATAATCCATTGCCAGGGTGTTCTGCAGACCTGCTGAACTGCAACTCCTTTAATTCCCTCCGGCATGTCCATACCATAACAGAGCTATAGAACAAAAGAAGCAGAATGCATAGGAAATCAAATATGAATGTAATAAAGATCATAATAAAGAGAGAACACACAAATGATAGCATTGAAATGTTGATTCCTGGGGGTCCAACTGAGATCACATTTCAAACATACTGTCTCTTCTTTGACAAACAAGTTCTAGAAATCTGGTTCACAATTACCAGGGCTGGAAAGAAGATCAATCCCAAGCATAAATACCATACCACGCCTTTGATCTGGGCCTGAAACCAGTCAGAGCAAATGCCCAGCACTACCGTGAAAGTGGCCAGCAAGTAAACCATCAGTCCGCACATAGTGTGGCACCTCTGGAGCTGAGCCATTAACGAAATCCTTAGCAGCTGTGGAAAGAGGAGGCACAGTCCACACAGGACTTGTCCACAGGTGGCCAAAAATGTCAGGAGACCCAGGATGCTGTGCCAGGAGATGAAGTGTGGGAGCTCACTCCGATTCTTGCTGGAGATAATGAAGCCCAAGCCCAAGGTGGCAGCCACAAGGGACAGCATTTGTGCAGTCCAGTGCAGCTGCACTTTTACTTTGTGGGAGCAGAAGAAGAGGGAACCCTCTGGAGCAAAGATCAGGATGGCTTCCGTCAGACAGAGGCAGAACTGAGAACACAGGAACCCATTAGCAACAAGGCAGCTGCTCCTACTTAAGAGTAATAAGCAAAGTCAAAACCTTGGAAAAAAGGTCTTCCTGAACTGTACCATTTAGACTACAGTTTTTTGTTTTCCTTTTAAGTGATTTTTTTTTTTAGCCCTACACCTTTTATTACATCCCCAGTCTTTGGGACAGCTAACAGCAATGGTTCAATTTCCAGTACACTTCCCACACATATGTAATAGACATGTCAGGTGCAGCCTAACCTTCCCTGGTGCGTGTTTTCAATGTGCAGTAAAGGACAGGGTGGGCTATAATGGAAAAGCAGGTACTGGTCTGAAGTGACATGAGAAAAAAAGACTACTTGGTTGTAGAATAAGGGTGAGTTTCAACTCCTGGTGATTTCATAGACATGCCTATGTAGTTTTCTGGGTACCTATATGCAATGGCTTCCTATTGCCTTTTTCCTTTTTTTTTTTTTTTTTTTTACTTCCTAATCTAGTCTACAATGCTGGGATTTCCTGTTCATCTCCTATCCAAACACTATCCAGGTCTGTCCCTGCTTAAGGACAGATAAGTGCTGCTACCTAGCCAGGCACTGACCAACTTTTGGTTAGGCTGGGGGTGGTGCTCAGTAAACTGACTTAAGAGTTGTGATGTTAATGAGCATCTTTGGTGTTAAAGAGCATCTGCTGAAAACTGTTGGAGGGAATGGAACCAAGGCTGACCTTGAAGTATTGCTTCTCTGTTGTTCTACACTGTCATCATTGCCTGTTTGCCAGCTCTCCTAGCATGCAAGCAGAAGCAAGAGAATGGGGAACATCATATTCCCTTTCTCTTACACTCCCCCTCTGGGTGATCTGCAGTTTGGGCCTCAATCAGACATGCACTGCATTTTGGGCTTCAAAGGTAACATTTGGGGTTTGAAAGGTGGGTGCTGGCTAAAGCCAGGCAGAGCCAGAAGAAAAAACAGATAGCACTATCAACTATATTTGATTTAATTTTAACTAATTAGAGTTAACATGAATATTCCCCATACTTTTAACAAACTGGTGGCCTTAACAGCAAAGAGTTGGGCTGCAGAAACCATTTTCCCAAGAGTTTCCTACTACAGAAAATCTTTTGACCGGTAACTCTCAGACCTCTCCATTCATAAATGCTAATGTTATCACCACTGTACAAAACTTATTTTGGGGGGGGAGGTAATCTAGGGGGAGGACATAATTTAAAATGCTGAATGTTAAAGAGAAAGGATTTGAAGTGACAAAAAGAAACTGCAAAGCTTTCTTTAAGAAAAACACAATCACCATTCTGCTTCAGCAGTTAAATGCTCAGTCTTTATAGGGCAGAAAATGTTTTAAGATTCTTCAGGCAAACCACACCAGTTAAGACTGTGCTGTCCTTGTTGGATGATACAAGTATTATTCAACAGGTGCCTGGGATACTGGCACAATGAAGATACACATGTCTAGAGAGGTGTACGTGTTGAATATGTACTGTCGTCTGCAAAAGAAGGACAAAAGGACTTTCTGCCTCTCTAAAAGGCAACCTGTATGCAGCCGTAGTGTTTATGCTCAATTTCTCATAAGTAAAGCCTAGCAAAAATGAACAACAGCCCTGGGATATATTGAATAAGGAGAGAACAACTTACTGCAATTGACATGAACACCGGGTGCCAGGAAAATAAACCTGGAAGGGAGAGAGAAAAGGAAACACTATTCAGCTTTGGCTAAGCAATCTAAAAATAAACCTGACTTCACCAGCCAATTTGACGCCAGCAAACCATAACAGAGGAAGTCTGATCTTATGTGTTTGTATGTTACTGTTTCTGATTATGTTTTTATACTTTGTTTTGTTACCTGGTTTTTATGATTCATTATTATTATTATTATTGATGTGTGCCACCCTGAGTCATATGCCGAGTAGGGCAGATATATAGATCATTTAAACAAAGAAATGTATGATAAACTTATGGCTGCAGTCAAACAAGTAAGGAACACCTTTGTATCTTAGCTATGGAGGGCTCTGGATTACAGCCTGTGCAGCTAACATAGTCACCAGTGCTGCAATGATGCGAGGAAAAATGCTATGGTTTGGTTACAATTCTCAGCCTGATCTCTCTGGCTTTCTCAAAATCTCTCTGTGTAACAGTAACTATATGCTCTCTGATTTCAGTAAGTGTAATTTGTTCCAGTTATAACATTTACAGTATTGCCTTGCAGTGCTTCAAACATTTTGGCAAGGAAGAGAGGATGGTAGGCTACATTGCAGGATC